CGACGGTCAGGCGAAGGCATGGAGTGATGCACGCAGTAGGCTGGCACGTCGGCGTGCTAGCTTCGAGTAGCGGCGACGCGAGGCGACCCTGCAATTATGCGAGCGATAAGGCAGGAGAGCGGCATCGCGACTCCTACTCGCGAGCGACACAGAAGTTGTGGCTTTGGGGAGTCTCCAATGGAACACTTGTTGGGCTAAAAATATATATATAGTTACTATTGGGCTAGTTGGGCCACCACTAGGGCCACGGCCCTAGTGGCCCTAAGCCTGGGCCTGCCTTACCACCATACGTATACGTGTGTACGATACATAAGGGCGAGGGCATTGGTGCCATCTAATAGACGGTCTCATAGGTTGCCAAGTAATCTTGAGACGATCTAATAGCAGTGTTCAACAAGGTGGTATTCCACGGCCGCCTGGGCATGCCTCTACGTTAGGTGGAGGGGTATCGTCTTGCTTAGGGGGGTAGGTAGACGTTGGGCGACGGAAGAGGAAGGGAGCGGTGGGCAGAGGTCGCCGGTGGGGGAGTAGGAGTGGCAGGCGACGGGCACGTGCATGTGTGGGCGGCGCACTAACCAGAGGAGACTGAGAGGGAGAGAGAGAGATGCGGGAGAGGAACCAGCGACAGTGGCAGCTGATATGCATGTGTGCGGCATGCATGAGAGACCAAGCAAAGAGAGAATGAAGGGATAAGGGGACTTGAGCTTTGGGCCGTATTTTTGTTTATGGGCCTTTCTCTTCAGTGAAGTCCATTTATCTTTTTTTTTTTTTTTTTTCAACATATATGTGTATTAGCCACCGTCTAGAAAAACAACTTAAAAACGTGTAGGCGCTAGGCGGTGACCATTATTTTTTAAGTTGTCTTATCATTATCCATGCTTCCTAAAATTATGGATGTGTCAAATGAATGTGGTGATCGCTTACAAATATCAACTTTGCAGCTCATGTGTGTCATGCATAGACATTGTTTAATATAATAAATATAAAGCACGTCCAAGGCCCGTCTGGATATCAGTGCATGCAGCACGTTCAAGTGCTTCTTGGCAGTTGCCGCACGTCTGGAACTGGAAGAAGGTCACAGCAGTGCGAGACCTTGCGCCACATACGAGAGAGAAAGGAGATTTGGTGCAGTGGATCCTGGAGAGAGAAAAAGGCACTTTACGAAACAACGAGGAGAGCATACAACGGCGAAGCAGTTGTCTCATCCAGCGAAAAAATCGTGAACAAACCCGTTGTTTCACCCTTAACTCTCTTTTCTCTCTGTTCCACGCTAGCAAAAATCCTACGTCCTCTACATAGACAACCTATGCATGCACTGAGGGCGTGTTTGACATCAGCCAAGACGGCCTGATTGCGCCCCCCCTGCTGCAACTCGTTGTGTTTGATTTCTTAGGCCCACCTGCGAGCCTGGCCCGACTAGTGCAAAGTTTTAGATGATCTCTATCAATTGGTCCAATGGTTACTTAGGTCTTTAGATCCGCGTTTTGATCGGGGACGCCCAACCATTCCATGGTTGGTGGGCCCCCGTCGCACATCGCCATAAAAAAGGAGGTGGGAGCCGGGGCACAAGGCACGAAGTTCACCTAAACCGCTAGACGCCCCACCTATATTCCCTAAACCCTAACCGATCTAAGTGAGGGGGCGTTGCCAGCGACGAGAAGCACCGCCACTGGTCAACGCTGCCATTGCACCGCCGCCTTTCACCGCCACTCCTCCACCGAGTCTCCACCGAGCACCGTGATGGCCAGCTCGTCTTCTGCGAAGGCGGCCGATGGTTTGCTACCCGCATCTCGCTTTCTCTCTGTTAATTCCGTACCAGTACATGTTCTAGGATTTACACTTCATCAAATATAAGTAGTTATGCTAGATCTATGGCTAGTGATCCTGTAACGTATCTATCACAAAGCACACCCTCTCTCCTGACTCCTAGCAAACGAGATTGAGTTTCGTTTCTCTTCGCCCGGCTGGCTGAAACCTCAAGCGAGCGATGGAATCACCTCCACGCTCATCACCCTCACCCGCCGGTGCATGCGCCGCAAACCGCCACCGTCACGCTCGCTGCATTCAGGTCCGAGCACCACCGTGGCGCCCGCGGGGGAGGGCACGGTTGCACCCACCGAGGCCTCATCCACCCCGGGCAGGTAGTGAGGAGGGAGGTCGACGTGGTGACGGCGAGCGGCTCGGCCATGGCGGCTTGGAGCTCCGACGAGAACAGGCGAAGAAGCTACGGGCTTGGATCGAGGCCACATGGGGGTTGGGCGGGGTCGTGGTGTGGCTGCGATGCCGGAGAAAGAGAAACGAGGGTGCGAGGTGGCTCGGACGGGGAGATCGGGAGCTCGAGCCGAAGGTCGCAAATGGTGGCGGCGGCGATGGATGATGGCGCTGTGGTGTGGTAACTAGGGCGAGGAGCAGCTGGTTGGATGCGGTGCGTCCAGGCGAGCCTCGGGGCGGAGGGGAAGGAACGAGCGGTGGAGGGGCTCGGCTGCATGCACCGTCAATGGCGACACTCGGCGTGCCCCCAGGTGCTCGATGAAATGTGAACGAGGAGAGAAAGGTGAAAGCATGGTGGGAAGGCTACCGGATTCTAGTGCAGAGTAACCATAGCCATTTGGGCCAGAAATCAAACGCGATCGCAGTTCAACCAGGCTAGATTGGACCAAGTAAATCAAACACACAACGTTGCACTATATGAGCCGTGCTCGAGCTAGCCAAGACCAGGCTAGCCAGCCTTGCTGGGCAATCAAACACGCCCTAAGATGCACGGTAGGCTGCTGCATCCTCGGGGGCAGGTGGCCTGGCCGCCGGCTGTCCCGACCGAACGCCACCACGAAGCGAACCATCAGCCACGGTTGACCCGAGCCACCGGCATCCGGCACGCCACGTTTCGGAGCAGACAAACAACGGGGAAGAAGGCAGAAGCAAGAAAGAAGGCGACGGAGACAAAAAAGCAGCCGCGCCGGCGCACCGCGCACATCTGAAAACGACGCTCGGGATTCACACCCACACTACCCCGCGCGCGGCGCGGTATATTCCATTCCACCAGATCAACACCTTCCCGGGCAATCCGGTAATTGTAACCGCAAGATGCACGAAAGAAAAGAAAGGAAAAAAAAAAACCCGGCACTTGTCACAGGAGTAGAGTGAAATCAGCGGCCATGGCAGCAGAAGCGGCGAAACTTCCACCCCACCTTCCCCTCCTGCTGCGTATATATACTCGCCCCGGCGCCCCCCCTCGCTCCAGTCTAGACGGCGGTTTGACTTTCTGACCGGGGAATCGGAGCTGCGTTTTGATTTGTTTTGATTTGAGGAGAGGACACGAGACGGGACGGATCTTCGCTGTTGCCCGATTCGTCGCGGTTCTCGGACAAGGGAGGGAAGAAAGGTGTGGGAAGAGGGAGGGCGCACCTCGGGCTCCGATCGAAGAGGTAATCTCTCCGTTCGTGTCGGCGCAGGTTGCTGACTTTTGGAGGCTCGATTTCGGGGGATTTCGTGGGGGTTCGGCCGGAACGGCGCAGGGTACGATAGAATCTGGGGTTTCCTCAGGGTACGGTTCGGGTTTTTGAGAGGGAAAAGAGATTTTTTTTTTCTTGGAGGTTTCGGAGCGCTACTTCGGGCGTTTGGCTTGATTTGTACTCGTGTGATTTGTTTGTTTGGTTGCTTGCTTTTACGGTGTGATCTGAATGATATTGACTATTTATGTGAGAAGGTAGCAGCGTTTTAAGGATTTAATTAGGTTTCACTATGTGGATTTGGATTTTCTGTCCCCTCTTTTGGTTTGTGTTCGTTTGTTAACGTGGCTTCAGACTGTCGTAGTTTACAAAATTGACTTTGATGTGCAAAAGCAGCGAGCATTGTTCGAGTAGCAGTACTCCAGTTCTTTCATTCACGGTTTATCATCAGAATTGTGCCGGTTATTGGCTGGTGACCTAAATTACAGCTAGATTTTGTTCAGTTTGTGGGAGAAGTTGCACGAAATGGTCTGTAGATGCTGTGTTGATTTTGTGCCTGCTTTATGGGATATCATGCTCCTTTTCATTTGGCCATAGCCCTCGTTGGAGTCTCTAGAAGATGACAGATTTGCGCAGAAAGATGTAGGAGTAGTAATATTTTTGACCTTCCCCAAATATGGATGATGGTTAGATTTATGTGGGAAAGATGACAGGCGGCTTTTTAGTCGGGTACTTTTGCAGCGCCACTTTTGCAGATTCAGAGGTTGGGTAGGTACAAGATCGATATTCAATGACATCGTTAGCTTCACAGCATGTTTTAAATTTTGAGGTACTCATGAAAGGTGCCCGATTTTGTTGCCCAATAGGGAGGTGCCATTCTGTTGGTGTGCCCATTCTGAGTACCAGTGTTTTTGTTGGTCCTAGAGAATAGCACAGGACATATAGCTTCCCCTTTATCTGGTGCTATAGTTGTAATGGTATGTCTATCAGGCATTTTTGGAAAGAGTATAATTTTAATTTTTTGCATTTGCGTTACTTTGGCTGCAACGGTGGGATTGTAGAATTCGTTAGCCGTTACTTTGGCTTTAACGGTGGGATTGTCGAATTCGTTAGCCGTTACTTCGGCTTTAACGGTGGGATTGTAGAATTCGTTAGCAGATACTTTGGCTTTAACACTGGGATTGTAAAATTCGTTAACAGTCACTATGTATCAGACAGTGAATGTACATTAATACGGTAAATTGTTCGTCGATGCTCAGCTACTTCTGGTGCTTGGTTACTCCTTGTAAATTATCTTGTATAGCTTTTATTGTTACTGAAACTACTTCTGCTTAACTTCAGGACAGTTACTGTAGCAATTTCTCCAGATTTAGCTGGAGATTAATGGTCAGGGAGTGGAAGCTTACTTAGAAGTATCTTTCATGTTGAAGAGTTGTGATTTTTTTGCAGTGTATTTATTATTCAGTTTTTTGTTTAAAGGCAAAACTTAATATTGTTTCCCCCCTTTCAGCTTTGTTAACATCAGAGATTAAAAGGTAGTGCTGTAGCGCAATGAAGGCACCATCACTACTGGTTCAGTGTTTCCCTGGCTTGCTTCCCAGCAAGGCCACTAGTTGTGTGCCAATTATATCTGAGAAGGATCTGCAGCTACCATCACCAGCTGTTGAAATAATCCCCTCAAAGGTAACACCCGCCCCCCCACACACAAAAAAAAAAAATTATATTGGACTCCAAAAGGTGATAAGTTTTCTTCTTTCTTGCAAAAAATTGTGTTAAACTTTTTTCTTAAAACTGTTTTCATGCTTTAAACTTTTTTTCAGAGTGCTCATCCATACAAATATGCTGGAGAGAAGGTTGATGTGCAAGGTCTTGATATTTTCAAGGTTAGCAGTGAATACAACTTGCTCTGTTTCTTTAGAATTTGGGTTGGGAATACATTTTGTTTGATTCTGCTAGCCATTACTCAAAGGTCTCATGCTATTAATTCTAATACTCAATTCTTCAATTCTTACATATGTTTTTGTTCTTCAGGGTAAAGTCAGTGTAGCAGATATGATAGCCTTCTCACCTTCTGAAGTAGCATCATCAAAATATGATGGTAACCTTCTATCAAATAAGCATGCAACACTTGTGCCCTTTGTCAATGCTTTCTTTTTGTCAGAAAGATTTATCATTTTAATCTAACTATGGAACATACTCTTTTCCCTCTTTTCCTCAGGAACTCTGAAATACTGGGAGAGTTCCATTACTCTTGTCAACATTCTTAAAAATGAGATCCGTGATGGGCAGTTGAGCTTCAGGGGCAAGCGGGTTCTAGAGGTAACTCCTGTGAGAAAACTTATGGATCTAGCTTGTTATTTCATCTAATTGGTTCTCACTACTGACCTGATTGATGTATATTCCTGTTTTTGCTTTTCATAAGAGCACACTGTATGCTCCAGCAGGACAATCTGGATGCATGCATAATTATAGCTAGTGTTAGACAGTTTGAGCTTGATATTTATCTACTAAATGGAATTTCTAAATTAGCGCTAACAAACTAACGTACAGTAGTCATATACCCCCTCTGGTCATAAAAACATGTTGTTTAGGACAAGATTTAGTCAAACTTTAAAACTACAAATATATATACTTTTAAATTATTTAGTTTGAAAACATGCAACTATATATGTATAACTGTATTGAAAGAATACTCGCAAACTCTTATAAATGTGAAGGATTTTTAGGAATATATTCGAAAGAAATTAGTGGTCAAAGATATGCATCGAAGACCATGCAAAGTCAAATGCGACAAGTGTATTTTTTGACTGGAGGGAGTAGTTTCTTATACTTTGTCAATATTTAGCCTTAGATTTTCAGCATGGGCATTTTTTAGTTATATATGGCCACTTAATGATTTTATTATTATTATTGTTATTGATGCAGCTTGGATGTGGATCTGGCCTCTCCGGGATTTTTGCCTGCTTGAAGGTGTATTCATCTTTCCACTACTCATGAATCATGATAATGTCGAATTAGTAAAGGGAATATGCTTATTTCAATTAGATTTACATCTCTCTTCATGGTGGGAGCTGAAAGAATTTTTTCTTGCATGGAGAGCAATGATCTGACTTGCTTAAATGCTACTTGCAGGGTGCATCCACAGTTCACTTTCAGGACATAAATGCAGAAACCATACGGTGCAGAACAATACCCAATGTTCTTGCAAATCTTGAGCAGGCTCGGGACAGACAGAACAGACCATCAGAGAGCCCTGTTACACCATCTAGGCAGCTCTTGGCTCCAAATGTACATTTCTATGCAGGAGAGTGGGATGAACTCCCAACAATTCTCTCAGTTGTGCAGCCACCCGCACCACCAACAAACCTCAGCTTCTCTGAGGATGATTTTATGGATGGCTGCAGTAGTCATGATGGAAGCAGTATAGTTGGTCATGACTACTGCCCCAGAAGATCTAGGAAGCTTTCTGGTAGCCGTGCATGGGAGAGGGCTAATGAGACCGGCCAAACAGATGGCGGCTACGATGTAATTTTGATTTCTGATGTCCCCTACGCAGTTAACTCTCTGAAGAAGCTCTATGCTCTTATTTCAAAGGTCAGTTCCTCAGAATCCGTTTTGCCATATCTGCATTTTTTTTACATATTTCTCTGAGTGTAGCTGAAATAGCAATAGAGCACAATATTTGAAGTTAATTAGGTTCTTCCATTGATTAGAACCATACCTAGAGTGTTTTTGCCCTTAGACGCTGATATGAAGCATTGTCAGTAAACGGTGTTTCTCTGTAACCTCTGAGATGTTGACTTTGGGTCTGTTGTCAAACTGTATCTAATTCTTGCAGTGCCTGCGTCCTCCCTATGGAGTCCTGTACGTGGCTTCCAAGAAGAACTTGGTTGGTTCCAATGGTGGCGCCAGGCAGCTTCGAGCTCTGATGGAAGAGGAAGGTGTCCTTGGTGGCCACTTCTTGACTGAGGTGTGTGACAGGGAGATATGGAAGTTCTTTTTCAAGTGAGCAAATCCAGGAAGTGGGCAGACAAGGAAATGAGTCCAGACGTTGAAACCCAGTTTTTTGGTTTCTATCTGCAGCGATGTACATACCGCGAGGCATAGTTCCATTAATTCTTTGGTAGTAGGTTGAAACTTCAAGAAATATCTGTAGTTGAGCTTGCACAAGTGTTGGAATCCTTTATCATTTTGTAGATCTGATATGTGCTAATGTCGTTCGGTTAAGTACAGAAAGCAAATTGTAGTAACCTTTTATATATACTTAAATGCCCGTGTTGCAACGGTATACATAATATCACGATAACATATATATGATTGCGTGTTATATTGTATCTAATCGTGATGTTTTATAAGTTGTAATACACGAGCATTCATCTTAATCGTAACAAGTTTGTGTTTTACAATACATATTTTACAATATATTGTATAATTAAGAATATAATCTCTCAATGTTTTGACCAAGAGAACGTGCTTTGCATGAACACCAAGCTACAGCTGGTCCCCAATCAAAGATAATCTAGAAGATTTTCAAGTCCAAGATGCGGCATCTAATTTCTTACAGCTGAAGCATGCAGATAGTTGAAGCTGTAGTTAGAAGTATCCTACACATAAGTTGTTTGTTAATTTTTAAAATTAAAGTACTATTGATATATCTTGAAAAATATGTATCAACGTGTAATGCATTACCTCTTTCATAGAGTTGGAACCTCTTTATATACAATATTTTTTGTGAATATATCATTTGTCGGTCTTTTCTTCCCCTTCTCTTTTCCTTTTCCCTTGTTCACGTCCTTCTCAGCAACCGGCACAGCCAAGATCCTAATATTCGATCTTGCTGTAGCTCTTGATAGCGCCACATACAATTGGCCATGCGAGAACACTGGTTCCGGCAAGTATACCTCGACGTTAGGGATAGTATGCCCCTGTGCCTTGTTAACAGTCATTGCGAAGCTGAGCCGAATAGGGAACTGCTTTCGCTTAAATTGGAAAGGGAACATCTCATCGTCAGACAGGCATAAGGGTATTCGAGGCAGAAAAACCCGCTTTCCAACATGCTGTCCCAACACAATTTTTGCGTCTATGGTATTATTTTGGAACCCCCGTATGATAAGTCTGGTACCATTACAAAGTCTGTTCACAGGGTCAATGTTCCTAAGCAATATGACCGGACAACCAATCTTCAGCTTCAACACATGTGGAAGTAGACCATTAGATGTCAAAGTGTTAAGGAATTCCTCAGGGTGGTATTTGTGCGGATCGTCCACCGCACAGTTAAAGCTATGGTACACCATCTCATCCCCGTGGAAACGACCTATCATCTTCATATTAATCATATCAACCCATTCGTTCCACATAGATAATATCACTCGAGAGGTGATATAATCTTTGCTTGACATATTTGCATTGAGGTTAGGGAATATGCAATCAATTAGAGTATCAAGATCACTATCTTCCCCAGTGTGCGGAACACATATATCATGAGGAAGACAAATTTCATCATCAACAGTTGCCTCCTCAGAACCTCCACCGACGCACAACAAGTATTATGCAAACCACAGGTCGCTCTTTGTCCTCATGTTGCGCACCAGTTTTAGATGCCACATAGAATCCCAAAGGTACGACATCCGCAGCGAGGCACCAACTACCTGAGCCCTTGACCCTCTCCAAACAACGGGAAGAACCTGTCTGAAATCTCCACCGAACACCACGGTCTTCCCCCCCAAATGACAACTCTGGTCGGTCCATTATATCACGAAGGCTGTTGTCTAGTGTCTCAACACCTTGCCTCTTTATCATTGTCACCTCGTCCCAAATAATAAGGGATGCGGTCCGAAGCAGCTTGATAGTAACACTCTGTTTCGTGAAGGTGCAAAAGGCCCCATTATCGATGGTGAGGGGAATCTTGAAGCGCGAGTGGGGGTTCTACCACTAGGCATTATTGAGGCTGCAACACTAGATGTAGTTGTTGCCACTGCAATCTTTTTCTGACCACGTATAGTAGCGAGAAGTGCTTGGTACAGATAAGTCTTTTTGGTCCCGCCAGGACCATCCACAAAGAAGAGACCCTCGTCCTCGGTATCAATCGAGGACATGATCTCATCGTATGCAGCCCGCTGCTCCTTGTTAAGGGTGTCTAACAGAGCCACATCATCCTCGTTAACCTCAATGCTAGCCTCCTCAAAAATCTCTCTAGGAATATCATGAGATGCATCATATGTGTCGTCGATATCAGGAAGTGGGTACATCTTTATATCCTTCTGCATTGATTGTAGCAATTTTCGAATATCCATGAGGACCATTTGCTCCACCATGAAGGTGGATTGATTATTGCGCCTGTAGTCCTCCGACATTGCCTCCTTGTGTTTCTCCCATAGTCCAAACACATCACTGGGCTCACAAAATATCAATATTGTTGCAAAGAGCCTTCGCAGCGCATATGGCATCATCCACCTGGTTGCCTCAGCGAGACTCTCGTTCAGCGTGTTGTCCTCTTCGATTAAGCCCCTTCTTTCTACAGCTTCATGGAAGGTCGGTAGGATTTTGCCATCCACGGTCCTTAGACACTCAAACGAGGTTGCACCTACCACGTGGTTCAGGAGAACCCTAAGATAGTAACGCTCCCCCTCGGCTGGATTGGCAGACACGATTCTTCCAATCTGTCGTAATGTATCACGACGTACCCTATTTTACCAAACTTTACCCTGTGCTTGCCACGTATAGAACTCGGGAAAGTCCCGATACAATATACCTCGAGTTGTTTCATCTGTCCTGTTCTTCTCAAAGTATGCTGTAAGCATTAACTTGTCAGCACCTGGACGATCAAGCACTCATCGAATCCCCTGGCGCCGATGAAATGACACCATGTGCATGTTTGGAAGATGTAGCTGTAAGGACAAAACAGAAGGGTACCTATCACTCAAATCAAACCCGTATATCCTCCACAAGGCTTCTGGGGGGTTACCCATCTAGCATCTTTGTACTGCTTGATCTCATCAATGTTCCCTTCACTATCCTCCTTGTCAGCCTCTCATAGCCACAGACGCCCGGTCATGACCCTTGTAAATGTACTTAAACAGATACTTGACTGCCTTGATGCTCCCACATGCCTCAACATTGATGTGGCTGTTGAATAGATGGAGGAGATACGGGTTGTAAGGCACGACCCATCTATTGTCAAGCTCGTGTCCACGAACTTTTTCTTTTCGGCCATCTTCACGCCGTATGTAAACTGGATATGAATCCTTGCCTTGTACTGTGACATCGCAGAAAGGTCTAGGGTAACGGTTCTTGCAGGAATCACGACCCTTTGTGCATGGACAATCGTGATTAAGTAGTCCGCAAGGGCCATGCATCATATGTTTGGTAACCATCTTGTACAAGATTGGGTACTTCTTGTTCGGGAGCTCAGCTGAGATGAGGTGATCATACTGCTCTGGACACATGATCTTGTACTTCCTATCCATGATTAGCAAAAAATGTGCATGCGGCAGACCCCTCTTCTGGAACTCCACAACATAAACATGTGCTCGCACCTTTCCAAGGACATCCTTTTTTAGTAGTCTATCCTTTAGCTCTTGTAGTTTTGCTCTAAAGACCCATACAACGAGATCTGGACGATCCTATGGTGTCTGGCCAGGGTAGAGTTCACACTTGATCTCATCCAAGTTTGGGTTACATGTCATAGTCAGGAAGATGTCCGGTTTACCAAACCTTTGTACTAGAGCCATGGCGTCCATGTACTGACGCCTCATGTCACGTGGGCCTCCAATAAATGATGAAGGCATCACTGCTCGTTTTCCAACAGCTTCTGCTCTACCTTCACCGGCATGTAGGCTATCAACCAATCCTTGGTAGAGGTCGGCCCTAATATCATCTTGATGGTTGCGTATATAATCTAATCGAGAACTCTTGATCTTGATGTACGTGTCGACTGCAAACTGCTGGAATAGACGCTTGCCGTACAGTATGGGGTTAAATATTCCTGGACGCATCTGAAACTTGTAGCAGTAGTAGTCACACACAGACACGCATAGTCTACCAGGGGAGTCTACAAAAAATAGCCATGGATTAGAGTTGTTTGTAGAATAACCATTGAGGTACATGTATGCGAAGTATTTAAATAAGAAGAATAACAAACCTATTTCTTCTTCTAACCCACTACAAGCCTTCTATAGGGCACAATACTTGATGACTTCTTCCATACTAACTCCTTTCTTTGGAATATCCATGTGCCACCCAAGCTCACCCTTAGGGAAGAATAGAGGGTATGAAAGAGCATCGTAACATCCATGATATGAGCGGATGCTGTGTCTGCTTCTATCTTTCCCATGTAGGACAACACTATTCTAGAACTGACCAAGGAGTTCTCTTCCCTCGATCCAAACAGCAGCCACCTCTGAAGTTGACGGTGATCAAGTGCTTGGACTTAAAAAGAAGAAAGAGAAAAATGAAAGGCTCAAGGCAAAGGTATAAGTGGTAGGAGCCATTTCATTTCGGTGATCAAGGCACTTAGCGAGTGTGATCACATTTAGGTTCGATAGCCGTACTATTAAGAGGGGTGAAACTCGTATCGAAATACGGTTATCAAAGTGCCACTAGATGCTCTAACTCATTGCATATGCATTTAGGATCTAGTGGAGTGCTAACACCCTTGAAAACATTTGTGAAAATATGCTAACACATGTGCACAAGGTGATACACTTGGTGGTTGACACATTTGAGCAAGGGTAAAGAAGATAGAGTTGAAAAGGAGTTAGTCACGCTGGTCACAGATTGACCGGACGCGTCTGGTATGGCGACCGGATGTGTTCGGTATTAATGACTGGACTCTGGCTCAGTGGAGTGACCGGACGCTGAGGAGTTACTGTTCAACGTCTGGTCAATGTGACGTTGCTCGGTACTAGATTTCAGAGAGCGACTGGACGCGTCCGGTCGCCACACCGGACGCGTCCGGTGTGAACCAGCAACTCTCAGGTTTTAGCGCTATAATTGATCGGACTCTGGGAG